AAGAGATTTTATATTAAAACAAGTGTCGCAGCATTATGTTGAATAAATCATTATACTGCATGAATGTATCGAAGTGGTTAACATCAACAACTGAATTTAAATAAAAGAAAAATAACGAAAGGATGTATGTCTACTTTTTACATCAATACATTTTACTGGTTTTAAATGATCAACTAATTATAAAATTAGCAGATATTTAGGCTACAGTTGCAGTGTTGTCGGTTATCTGTGGGTCAATCATACGTGAATTATTTCAATTGATCGATCAAAGCCCACTAATATGCGTTTATAAACGGAACGTGCCATTTTGTAGATTAAAAGATATAGATCGCGTTAGTGAAGTTAATTTATTGAAAAAACAATCACAATTCTATCCAGAGTAAAGAAAACGCGGTTGTTGGAAAAAAGATTATAGTCCACTACATTTGAAACGATCACGATCAAGAGTAAGTGACAAGACTGCGGTAGCAAATAAGAGTTTAGCTTGATTTTTCCAACATGCTACTGATTTGTGAGAAGTCACAGTTCGTCTAATACATGTTACAATCGCCACCTTCCTTGTTTCGTGTCGCTCCGTTTTCGGAGGCATCCGGCCCGATACATCGAAAGGCGCATGCTTATTTTAGTAGCGGCATAATCGCGCCACGTTGTGTTACCGTCAAATAACTCTTGTGGCATTTTGTAGAGACAGCGAGGCCGTTTTCCATCCCACCACGTCCTGATAGTAACACCGTCACCTGAAAATAAAGCTCTAACCCGAATATAATGAAAGTGAAAGTTCAATCATGTGGATTTATATTTTACTTTTCTGTTTACAAACTTTTAGTTTCTCCTTAAATCATTTTGAAATATTTCGTATAAATTTGATATACTGAACGTACTTTTAAACTATATGTTTATACTTAATTGCTTACGTAGTAGTTACAATTGTAAGTAAAATACAAGTCAAATTATTTCATATACGTTTCCTAGTTCTCACAATTATTTTTACTTAACCAATCGAGCTTTCGAGTGGTTTGAAGACTTCAGAATTTACCTGTAGAATCTATTGTCTTTACCTATATAAAAAATAGAGGTGAATGATATCATTATTAATATTATTAACTAATTTTTTGGTCAAATTTTTTTCCTTTGTAAATGTATAATAATAGCGAACATTATTTTAAAATGATTTTAAACATTCGCTAGTCAAAATTATATTGTATTTCGCTTTGTATGAAAGAAATTAATTATAATTTTACTTGAATATTAATTCTTATAACTGCGCATTTGGTAGAGTGTTTAACGAAAATATCTATGAGAAAAACTTATTAAATAATCAGACATGTAATACAAAATGTAATGTTTCTCAGTTGCGCGTTATAGCTTCTAGAGACTCCGACGAATTTGAATTAGGGGGCCCCATTTAATCATCAGTGTTGACTTTATATATTTTGTTTTTTGGGAAATGTTTTGCAAGAAATACTGGCTTGTAAATAATTGATTTGGGGTTTCTCGTTTGTGGGGGCTGCAGGCAATTGCCCTTTTGCCGGTAGGATAACGCGTTACTGATATTTCTATCATTATAAAATATTCTGTTTAAATGAAGAGACTGTTAAAGTATATTCTGAACTTACGAAATACTTTCAATGAATTTTAAACTATTATGTTATTTGAAATTAAAACGTTTGTTTATGTCTTTACAGGAAACAATAAAAAAAGTTTTTTTATAACATGGATTGGCTGTCAGGTAATGGAAGTTTTTTTTTCGGATTCAAAAGACGTTACTTAATCAACATATAAAACAGTTACTATTAAAAAATTCAGAATAGATAATTAATAAAAATATATTTTCATTTACGAAGGCAGCCAATTAACTTAAAAAAGTGTTTGTAAATAAGACTGTATGCAATTAAAAGTATATTATGAGAAAGTCGAGACGTACAACTGGGTTAGAATTACTGAAATGATTATAACTTTCTACCAGCCCGAAAGATCCGGTTAGTGTTTGTATACTAATCGATTTAAATAATCTGTTAACAGTCTTTGAATTGCAAGAGAGGTGGTCGAGTTAGCAAATCACAGGAATGAAAAATCAAAATACAGTAATGAAATATTTCTATTATCAAACAACAGTCGACATTAATCTTATTTGCATTTCTAGGCACTATTAAACGTGTTTTTTCAACTTTAACTTAAGTTACATTCATGCAAAAGTTAAAAAATTTATACATTAGCACTGTGCATCTTTAAAAGTAATTATTTTATAAATTATTACAAGAAGTATACTTGACTGATGACTAGTTAAAGCCTGTCATTGAGTTGTCTACGACTTTGAAAATCGCTGAATTTAAATCGGGCGAACACTCCAAAAATATCTGCAGAGAGCTGGTCTGTCTGGGATAATTCGGGCACCGTCCTCACCATCCTGCCCAACCCAGGATAGACATGGTTCAAAAGGCCCACTTACAACCCAAAGGCAGTAGGAGCCAAATGACAAAGTAAATTTACATTAATTATTTTTCGATTTATTCATTATATTAAAAATATTTTAAAAAATCTATTAAAATAATAAATCAATATATAACAAGTTAATAAAATTTTTAAATCCTTTTACTTTTTACTTCGTTCGATATCTTCGAAATTAACAATAGTGTTGTCATCAATAATCGCGAAACAATATTTTTACATTGTTAACAATTTTTGTTACTGTAGAAAGCTTTGACATTTATTTGAAAATACATAAAAATAAATTTAAATTCTTTTTAATCTATAAGTAAAGTATAAGTTTTGGAAACTTTATCTGAATAAACCAGAAACGAGTTGTTCAACTTTCTCAGAAACATTTAAAATTTTTGTGGCGCTATCTGTTGCCATATTTTATTTTTAAAAACTTTTTATATTTTTAACTATTACAAAACGACCAAAAGCTTAGTTTTGAGGGTACGGATGAGTTTTATAAAAATAATTGTAAACACTAATAACGAGTAAAATCGTCATTAACTTCGACCTTACTGGAGATACTACTATCTTTCGATACGAATTTTTGTGTATCCATAAAAAATACCCTGTAACGGTATTAAATGAATATACAGTATTATATTTAAAAACGAATAAAATCAGTTGTTGGCATACGTTTTATTAACCAAATTCAGTAAACTCTAGATGAGCAGAAAACTTAAAATATTTGAATCAATCATTAGTCGATACAGTTGTTATTGATTGAAAGTTGTATAGGACACATTTGTTTACTTACAATCATTTGTAATATTACGTAAGAAGTTTGTTACACATTTTGTTTAATTCATAAGAGTCTCATCTAGTAGCTAATTCTAAAACGGATAGCATTTTTTGGAAACGAACCGAATAGAACCAGCCATAAATAACAGATAAAAAAATATGCCTGGTGATCTCCCTTAGAGCTCACTTACCTCAGCCAGGTGATATCTCTCGACATCTTTTCCTACGACTTTATTTTCGACAAAGAGTTGGTACTTTTAATTTATGAACTGACCATTTCAAGCATTACCTGGCAGAAATGACAAGTCGTTTCTCATAAAAGTCTCATTTATTAAATTTCATTAGAAAATTGCACACAGTCTGCTGATTGAATAAGTTCTAAAGTTATTAAGAAGTTTTGAGTACGTTAAATCTGACTATATTCTATTTACAGCGATTGCGTTTCGACACATGATTCAGTGGCGTCACAACATATAGTATGTCGAAATATTTGACCTCACAAAGTGGCGCCATCTCGTGGTAAAAAACCCAACTACGCAATTATCCGCTAGTTATGATATATAGATGGTCCCAGTTTAAATTTGCGCTATTGTTAAAATACGATTTCCTGTAAACAAAAGTAGTAGTATTACCCGTGTACATTACATTAGCAATAAAAAATACACACTAATACTTACATTAAATATTCTAACGTCGTCTCTAACGACACCGAAAGAGAAAGAAACAAGAATAAAATGACATGTGAGAAGTCACGCGCATTGAAATCAAACGAAAATAAAGTACTGTAACGAATTGTCTGATGGTTTCTATTGGATAAGGCTTAAGCAGTACTTTCCAATTTTCAAAAAACAGTAAAACCTCTATTATTTGCACCACTATTATCCGGACCTTTATTATCCATATTTTCGATTATCCGGATTTTCAAAATAAACAAAAATTTTACGAATTTGCTGATTTGATCTTGGCGAATTACGATACCGTTTATGTACATGATAAAATCATAACTTTTTTTGTTTCAACAACGTTTCACCCAACACAGTGGTCGTAAACTCTTAAATATATTTTGCGTCGTAATAAAAATTTAACTCGACATACCTATTTATAAATAATTTATATTCAAATTACACCAAGACATCGTCAACGTATCTTTTAAAATACATAATTTGTCTTGGTAATTTGGAAGAATAACCGAAAAATTAATGAGTTTATCAACATGATCAACAACAATGATGATGGTCTCATGCTGAAGATTGAAGAAAAATGTGCCTCACGGATACATTTTTTAGATGTTGACATTGAATTTAAAGAAGGACATTTGACCACTAATGTGTACGTAAAACCGACGCATAGCCCTCTGTACATTCCGTCCAACTCTGATGATCCCTACTAATACAAAATGGCTGCCTTCCGTGCCCTTATCCAAAGGGCTTTTCTCTATTGCAGTAATGTGTTGGATAGGCAAAAAGAAATTAATAGAATATTACATTTGATTCTGGCGAAACCGTGTTGTTGGTATTATGCTGTTTCACTGTAGACACACTAAGGCTACGTTACTCAACACTTGGCAGATTATTCACCACTTTATTCAGTTGCGACGCTTTTTACATTTCGCGTTTCGGGCATTGGCCCCTCTTCAGCCAACTAAACGTAAAAAATAATAAAACATGAGAAGAATATACAAAAAAACGCGAGTAAAACATCTCGTAGATAAAACGTTTTTTAAAAAATGGTTCTAAAAAACATACCACAAAGCACAAATCACGAGCGTACAGATGTCGTACAGGATGGACAGTTTCATATTCTATATATCACATGGAGAACAAACAGGGTCGAAGATAACAGCTTGACTACGGGGCTTTCAAATATGGCGTTCTTATAGTTTATACAAAAATTCGAATAAATAAATTGAAAATGACAACATATCTTAACAATATTTGTTTTACCTGTGGCCAATATTTGCATATTACACTGAAATTCACGCAATAACTGTTGTCACTCTTTTTTCGAACGAGTTTCACAAAGTCATCTTAGCGATATTATTTAGACTGTCAATTTACAAAGAACATATTTAAAGCCATTACATTAGATTGTACAAACCGGTAATTAATATTTGTATTACTTACAGTTCATATAGACATCAAAATTCACACGTTTTCAGTTGTAGCTTTTCGTTAAACCACTCTCGTGTACAGTTTTTGCAACGACACTATTTGATATACTAATTTACATATTTAAGTGAGCTGACCCTTGAACCAATTTCAGTATGTAATATAAAGTGGTGTATAAACAGGAATTATTATATTAATCTTAACTTAACTTATTACTTTACAATTATTTATATATTTATGAACATTAAACTTAGGTGATTTCCTTCTTAATTACAACCAATCAGCATCAACGTAGTTACAATATTTTTATCCAGTTCTCACTAATTTTAATGCTTAAATTTTTATTTATACATTGTTATTTTTGTTTTTAATAATCTCGACGCTTTCTTTGAATTTTCTGTTATATATTTTGTTCTCTTTGTGTAGAATCTGTATGTTAGCTTTATCTATATTGCAGTCGTTTAGCACACAATGATCATGGAAAACAGAGTTCAATCGGTGGTACTTTAAATCTGACATATGTTCTTTTACTCTCAGTTTAAGTTTTCGTTTTGTTTTTCCTATATAAAAGCTGGTGTTTTTACAGGTACATGGTATTTTATATACAATATTTTTCGTCTCTTCTTTATCTATTTTTTGTTTTTTAATACTCTGTTTGGCCTTTAGTCTGGAGAATAGATTTTCATACTTGGGAGCAAGTTTCATATTGTTTTTCTTCATTTCTGTATCTATTTGCTCATACATATTTTTTATGTATGGGAAACCTACATATTTCAGTTTTGTTTTTCCATCGATTATTCTAATTTTTTTATCTTTTGTTCCGGTAGCATTATCTATTATTTTTTGCCATAATTAATCTCATACATATCCATTTATATTGAATTTTTCTTTAAAATTATTTATATGTTTATTTTACACATTTTGTTTAATTCATAAGAGTCTCATCTAGTAGCTAATTCTAAAACGGATAGCATTTTTTGGAAACGAACCGAATAGAACCAGCCATAAATAACNTTCTCTTTGTTATTAAATAAATGATTAAATATTTTCAAAATATTCTGTATTAAAATTAATAGTATGTAATTATAAATATTTAATATTTATGAGTGTCACTTTATCAGGAAGCAGACAATCACTTCTTTGCGCTCTTCTGTGAGACTGACCCTAACTGAAAGCATGCGAACGAATACTTCCTGCTGGAGACAATTAGTAGATATCGGTAGAATGATCTGTACAAATACGCTGAAAACTCATATACACAAATAGAAGTCTGTAGAAATAGCTAGAAGAAATTATACAGGTAGATATAATATTTTGTAGAAATGGGAAAATTGAAACGGTTTTGAAAGCGAAATAATCCGTGTGAAATCAATTGCTTTCTACTATATGTAAGAGAGAAAAATTTGCATTCTTCGGTGAGATTAACATAGAGTAAGAGCACGCAAACGATTATAAATATTAAAGTAATATACCGAGACAATACGCGATCGTTAAATTATAATAAGAGGTATATAAAAAACCGACAAGTTACAACAAAAACGTCATAATGTCCAAAGAGCAGTAATTTAAGGTTTTCTTTGAAAGACAATACCTAGGATGACATTGTTCATGATGAAACTACGTCATTTCCCTAATTTGAAAGTCGAAACAGATTATTACTGCCGAGTGGGATCAATTTAAGTACAAATTGTAAAATGATAGCATTTTGTCTCTTTCTCTGTCGTAAAAGAAAACAGCACTTTTCTTTTAAATGAAGAGGTTTTAAAATAAAACAAAACAATACCAATTATTTATCGCGAATTCACAATAGTACTTTTACTTGTAAATAAATAAGGTAATTCGTACATAATGACAGAACATTGTGGTACGGTTATGTATTTGAATGAATTTTTGTTTGGAATTAAGTATGTAACTTGATTTATATCCTTATTAATGGATTGGATATACATGTATATATAAATTTGTCGCGAATTGAAATTTGTCAATGTCACTTGCCAGGAGAATGCTGACATGATACTATCACCATGAAAGAGGTGATAGTATCATGTCAGTTATGTTAGTTGATCCGATTGTGGTTAAAATGAAAATTTTGATTGTAATTCATTATATAACTCTGCTTGTACTTATATTAATGACACAGCTTATTTTGGTATTGTGAGAGAACTTGCGTTGTGAAAGAAAAAACACAATTGTCGCGATCGAGTTTTCCTGTGACATAGGATTGGTTAAAGATAGAGTAAATCATATGATTCAAGTTTAAGGAAAATTTTCCTCATCCTCAGTTTGCATTAAACATAATTGTATCAGTCACAACCACAACTGGCTTAAATTAATACACCATTGTTAAACGGAGTGAAAGTCGCGGAATGACGATGTTGAATAATGATATTGATTTGTGGTAATCTGCTCTAGACAAGACAAACAAAAATGGAAATGTTAGTGAGGTACAAGGTTCCTTCAGCATCGAACAAAAGACGGTGTCGAATTGTATTAATAAACAATCGTCTTTCTCAGAAACCAATCTGGTTTAATTTCAACTGGCAACAGAAAAAGACCGTCAGGGATCGAGAAATAACTAATAAAGTCCAAAAGATATTTATACCGAAACCACAAAAACACTACGTTCTGTGTCATTTTGTTTCGCGGATCTATGGCCAACGCTAAGGTGTTTTCCGCAAGAATCCATTTTCATCCTGTGCCGATATATCCTTTAAAAGTTACAAGCGGACATTGTCCCCGCACATTGAATAGACTTGTTCATGAACACTGGGAGTTTGGTCCTGAAATCGCGCCGCGCTCGAACAGGCTGACTACGTGGAGTTTTTTGGGTTTCTTCACTTTTGTAACGCCTAAATAGAAGCCAGTTTCCCTTTATAAGACCTCACAGAAGGAACCCCTAGGCAGATCTCCCGAGTGTTGCGTAGCCATAACTAACGAAACGAAAAAAAAAAAAATTAATTAATTTATAGATATGCAATCGATATTTCGCAATGGAATGTACGACATGCTGTACATTAGAAATATTTGAAAGTAAGTACCGAACCGAATTTCTTAGCAATCGGTCGAACATGATTTACGTTACAAGTATGAGCTAGAACGGGCTAAAAGTATATACTTCTAGGCCGTTCTACCAAACGAACAAACAAACATCCTTTCTTATAATCGCACATGTCATTCTTTATAATTACCCACAAAAAACCCCACAAATAAGACTGATTGACAAGCGTAATGCTTAGCACGCGCTTCGATTACGTGAGCACGTTTTTCATTGTTGTATAAACAATAAGTTATAAGAATAAGTTTTCAAGTATTGTTAAAGAAATATATCGATTGTTGTATGTTAAATTATCGAAAGTTATTAGTGCGCAAAAAATGGATTGTATAAGTAAGTTAAATTCTTTATATTATATAATTATATTAACTGTTTAATAACGTGTTCGCAATGAATATAAAAACACGCAATTCATAGTAATTATTTACGGGATGTATAAAAATCTTAATTAAAATCTGATACGGTTGAACTTTGAATTCATTTTCTGCTGGAGAAAATTAGAGCATTAGACGATTTTCCGCAAATGAATAACAATTTTTTATTTTATTTCTGTATCTTTTCCAATATTTAAATATTCGGTTCCATTAAGATGAATAAAAAGAAGCTAACAGAAATTGAAACCACATTTTTATAATAAAATAAGATATTCAAAAATAAAATTCAATTCAATGGCTAATTTAAAATAATCTTATAAAAAGTTGTCAAAACTCTAATCTAAAGGCTAATGTTCTAGTGTTCAATGTATACTTACGACTTGATTTTGACTACATTTCAGGTTTTGGTCATTAATTAATTAAACAATGCTAAATTTTATATTTACAAACTGTCTATTACATTATTTATCGACATTGCTGAATATAGATATAGCAAATAAATCGATCTTCACCGCTAGATAATTGCAAACAATGCACATTTATAAAAAAAACCTTGTAACGAAAGGGTGACGAATCTGGCAATTATGTTTAATTGGTTAAAATAATCCATTAATTTCCCTTTATTTTTTATCTTTGTTATAAAGATATAAATGAACATTTGATTATTTACATTTTTGAAGTTAATCTATAAACTGAATATTAAAATACATTTTACTTAGACATTCTATTAAATTGTATCAATCAAGGTAAAGTAAGCTTCTGAGTATAAACTAATAAATATCCGTTCATTTATTTCAACCGAGAATATCGTTTAAATCAAGAAATTTCTAAGCAGAAATTAATTGATTTAAACATTAAAATTTATTTTCAATTTTTATTTTTGTAAATTTGCAATAAAATAAAGTTTCAAAATATCTTTCTAGAATAACAATTTCATGTTTATTTGGTGTAAATTGTTTGTCATTTGCTTTGTTTCTCTTTTTCAAATTCCTGTATAATTTTTAATTCAGACGAAGAAGGCGTTATTAATGAGCATCAATCATCCGAACAGAAAAAAGTAACGTTGGAAGATTCCGTCGCCACAATCGTGCACATTATCTTGGATCTGGCACGGAGAAAAAGAGAAGAAGAAAAAGCTTTAGTAAGTTACAATTAAATAAAAATAATTGATACTAATTCTTATTATTT